AGGCTTTCCTCTGAGGTGGCACGAAGGCCAGCAGCTCGGGATGCGGCTCAGGGGACGGGCGGTGGCCTCCTGGCCGCTCGCACCCCTTGGTCCTGGCCATCCCCTGCTGCCTTCTGGGACACCCCGGGAGCCGCAGCGTCAGCGGGGTCTCACCGCTGTGCAGCAGAGCTCGCAGAGCTCCAGTCGTGGCTGGCAGCTCACTTGTGAAGCTCTCTGTGACGCCGAGGCGTGAAGAGCACTGCAGAACAGCGATTCCCGTTGCCGTTCTCCCCAGCGAGCCCCAGGCTGCCGGGGCCGGACCCGCCACTGTCTGAACGCATCCCATTGTGCTGGCTGCCCTCTTGGCCTCTCCACATTTTGCCAAATGTTGTGCTGAAGCAAGTGCCTCTTACTCAGCTGCTGGGAGGGCTGAGAAGTGGGCCTGTGTCTCAGAAGTGTCCTGGTGAGGGGACAAAGACCCTTCAGATCGCTCGGTCAATGGCTCAGTGTTCGTTTGCAGAGCGGGTCCCTGGGCACCGAGTGCGCTGGGCGGAGGGACTAAAAGAATTCCCTGCTCAGCTGGGGAGTCAGCAGAATAATAATGCAAGCAAATCACTTATACCTTAATGAGAGGCAATAATTATCTGGAGTTGGGATTTATTTACGTGTCTCTGCACACTCTTCATGTGAGTCCGCGCTGCTCGGTGCAAGGTCTTCCCTGCGCAGCCTCGCAGATGCTTTGAGCACTGTCAGGCAACGTCCTTTTGAGATGGTGCCTTAAAATAAACCCTAAATCACAGGGGATTTCTTAAGTGCCACTGAGTAGATGCCTTGTTTCCTTTGGCACAGGCGTGCAGCCTATGGAGGTGAGGAAAATTCCTACAGCACCATGAAGTTGAAACAGGTTTTAGCTTTTGACATCAGGCAAATAAGGAAAATAACACTCCCTGTTCAAGCCTCAGGCAAAAATGCAAAATCAGCAGAGGAAATCTTTATTATTGCTGCCCCTCTGATGCCTGGGCTGCCTGTGCAGGGAAGGAGCCATCTGAGAGAGCGCAGGCAAGCAGCTCCTCATTTCCTACGGAGCAGGTGTTCGCGGGGTGGTGCCTTCGTTCTGACAAGTCTCGGTTGGGCAGCAAGTCCGAGGCTCCCTGAGGTGCCAGCTGTGAGCGGAGGGTCGCACCTTGCTCCATAGACCGAGGGACCCTGTGCCATTCCAGACAGCTGCGACCTCGCCTGCCCAGGACAGACCCTGTAGCTCAGTCCCTTCCAAGACTTTCATCCTTCAGGTAGATCAGGGTGCTTGGATTCCAGAAGAACTGCATCATCCTCCTCTTGCGGGTGTGTTCGCCCTTGGCGCTGGTGGCTGTGACCCCGGAAATCTCTCTGGAGCTGCGCATCCTGGCTTGCTGCCGGGTGCGGGGACGCGTCTGAGCCCTGGTGGACAAAGGTCCCTGCAGCAGGGAGGAGGGGGTCATGGTGAAGACACTTGAGCCCATCTCCTGGTGGAAAACGAGCTGGATGGAGCTTAGGCTGTTCTTGGCGCTTCCTTTCCCCGCCAGGTTATGGACGCAGGGTTGCGGGGCTGGTTTTCTTTCCCCTTCTAATTGCCTCAGTATGTGCTTCACCATCAGTTAGCGCAGAAGGAAATTGCTGATTCCAGGTGACATCTTTAGGTGGGGGTAAATCGTCTGCCTCCTATTTTAGAAACATTAGATAAGTAACCAGGGTGTTGACACGCTGATGGGGGGCACAGGTGATGGTTTTATGTACTGCTGCAGAGATGTTTTGCTGCACATTGGGCATTCACTTTTGGAGCTCTGAAAGGGACGTTGGTGTGAAGGAAGGGGATGTCTGTCCTGGCATTCTCCTTCAGTCGCTTCAGTTCTGTACTTCCCTGGCTGTAGCTGCACTGAATGTCTTAATGGCTTTAACATGTGGCTCCCAATAACAAACAAACAATGAGCGTGCTGTGCAGAGAGCTCCCCGCTGGCCGTGGTTCAGGAGGTCCAGCGAGACTGGCCTTTGGAGCCCCAGAAGTGTGCACCAGGCTGTGCAGTCGTTATTTTTCCACAGTCACGTTCAGGAGCGGTCTCCCGTGGTCCGGCGCGGGGGACTGCAGCCTGGATTGCACGGCGTGTCTGGAACAAGTGAGCACAAAGCTACCCGGGAGGCACTGTGACCATTCCCATCCTGGCCTGTGGCAGGCATTGGAGTGGTCTCTGGACAGCTGTGACCCTGTTTGGAAAAGCCGTACACAGCCGTGTGCGGTCCAGCCTCTGCAGTCTGCTTTCCAGACCCGATCCCATCAGAGCCTCATGTTCTCGGAACAACGAGAGCTGGCTGTCCCTGTGTTTCCCATCTTCAGCAAAATCTCCAGAACCGTTCCCGGCTGCGTCCCGGCAGGAACTGATGGCACGATGCTCCTGGCCTGTCCTTCCCTCCGGGGCTGGGGGGCCATGGACGGGGCTCTTGGCCTCATTGGAAAGGGGTTGTGAGCGACGAGCTGAAACCCGGTGGCTGCCTTCGTTGTTCCAACCTCGACCCCTTCGCAGGCTGCGTGCTGCCAGAATTAACTTGACGTGGAGGTGCTGCTGGGCCTCCGGCGATGTCTCGTGCTCCAGCAGCCCCCAAGCGCCTTCTCCCTCTTCTCTCCTCTGCAGTGGCAAGGGGAAACTCAGGAGTTCTGCCCCAACGCAAAGATCGTGCTGGTCGGCTGCAAGCTGGACATGCGCACGGACCTGAACACGCTGCGGGAGCTCTCCAAGCAGCGCCTCATCCCCGTGACACACGAGCAGGTCTGTGTGCTCCAGCCGCTGTCCCTGCTGGTGCCGCGCAGCTGGGCAGCGAACGCCCCCCCGCGCCCAGGGCTGCCTCTGGCGCTGGTCTGGTCTTGTCTCGTGGGCTGTTCTCCGCAGCTGCCTCCCTTGCGCTCCATTTACAGGGGTGATGGGCGAGCGCGGTGGTTGCGCTGCGGGCTGCACCCGCTGCTCTGGTGCAGTGCCGGCATGGCTGAGGGTGGGGGGAAGGATGCTCCCTGCGGTCCTGACCTCTCTCCCCTTCCCTCCGCTCTCTTGCAGGGCAGCGCGCTGGCGCGGCAGATCGGGGCAGTGGCCTATGCGGAGTGCTCCTCCAAGGTCTCGGAGAACAGCGTGCGGGATGTTTTCCACGTGACCACGCTCGCCTCCGTCAACAGGATGCACAAGAACTTGAAGCGCAGCAACTCCAAACGGGGACTGAAGCGGGCATCACAGATGCCGGGCAGGACGGACTTGCTGAGTGACACAGAGATCAGGAAAGACCGAGCCAAGAGCTGCTCCATCATGTGAAAAACAGGCTGTAAATAGTGTGTGTGTGGTGTTCGTTTTGTACAGTAACTGGCTGAGACAAGGGCACGGTGCTGGCTGCAGGAGCCAGCCCGCCTTTCCAAAGCCTTTCTCTCAGTCTCTCAGGCTGAGCAAAGGTCCCAGGTGCAAACCGGGGTGCACGAGTTGCCCCCCACCCTGGAGACTTCTGGGCTGGCTGCTGCTGCGCGGAGTGCTTGGGGTGAAGGAACCACATGGCAGAGGAGTATTCAGGTGCTGGAAGGTCTGTCGCTGGGTGAAACAAAGCAAAAGGGAGCGATCCCGTGTGTGTGCCACCCTCCTGTCCCCTGGCCCAGCCTCTGCACCGCGTGGGGCGGCGGCTGCCCGGGACCCGGAATGGAGGTTGGGGGGCAGGGCAGGGATTGCTAGCAGCAGAGTGCAAGCAAGAGAAGGTCTGCTTCCAATCTTCCTCTAGAAGAGAAATAATGTTTGGGGTGGTGCTGCCTTCAGCTCTGCTGGACAGCAATGGAAGGTGCAGGTCTGGGCCAGAGCGGGGAGGGGAGGCACCCAGGGAAGGAACCTTGACCTCTTGAGACACCACGATAGTCCACATCCTGTAAAGAAAACAGGAGGCTCTTTACATGGTATTTTAGATACTTGAACTCCATTTGAGATGCAGCGGAGTGGATCTGGCTCCAAGGGAGAGGTCTGTCCCAGTAGATGCGTCCTGAGAATTGTGGTTCCCTCCAGCAAGCAAATGCCACTCGGGAGCTTGTGTCCCAGCTGCTGACAGCCCGGTTACCCATCCGGCTGCTCCCTGCCACGGGAGGAACACAGCTTCTGAAAACGCAGACTGCAACAACCACCCACATCCTGCTCTCCACCCATTTCCAGCTGCAGATTGTGTTGCATGGTGCTGTGTTTGTCTGGTACAGATAATCAAAAAGACGGTGTGTGTATCTGCACCCTGCCTCCACCGTGGCAGCGGGGGGGAAGGTGCTCCCTGCCTCCTGCCCTGCTGTACAGCCTCCTCCCGACACCACTCATTGCTTCTGCTGCTGCCCTCTCTAAATGCCTTCAACTACAGTGTTAGCCTTGACCTAATGTCACATAGACACTTTAAGGAAAAAAGAATCTGCTCCCTTGCAGATCCAGCTGTGTCAGTGGGCTGCAGAAAACAAATAAACATCATTGGAGAATGCACAGTGCTTGGCTCTGTTCGTTTTTAATCGTCAAACCAGGCATCCTCTCAAAACACCGTACTGCTTAACTTCTGTTGGCGTCCTGACGGATCTCTCCAGCTCCCGAAATGCACTGACACAGACACTTGAGTGAAAAATGCAGAAGTCTTAGCTCCGTGTCCCTGCTGGATCAGCAGCAATCAGTGGCTCACAAGTGTCACTGCTGTCCCCGTGTGCATTTGTCCTCATCATCCTTATGTAATATAATCACTGTGTCTTCCTTCTTCCCACCTGAGCACAACAGTATTTGTCAAGCACATCTCCCTTTTTCTATCATCTAGCAGCTTCTAGGCTTCCGAATTTAATCTGGAGGTCTATACAAATGCAGTTTCTCATCCACTGATTAGTTTAAACTTCCCGTGGCTCTGTACCTCCAGCGTCCGTGGCCGTTGTCAGACCCCAGCCGAGCCATCCGGGGGTGAAGGATTGGGCTGTTGCCAGGAGGTGGCTGTCGCCTCACTGGGACGTCGGCTGGGTGCCTGTTCCCCTCCGACTGCTGCAGAGAGAGGTCTGGGGACACGCAAGGAAACCAGCAAAGCTGCAGACGTGC